CATCTGGCCCTGAAATTTCTACCTTATGCTCGGGGGGATAGTCCCCAAAGTCTAAGACAACTTTTGGCACGATCTGAATTGTTCAAGCCATCCGTAGAGCAGCCCTTCCAAAGGCATTCTGATCGAGTTTCGTTTTTCAAAATATCAATTATTCTGATTAGTAAAATTAATAATTAGGGAACGCCCCTACACGGCGTCAGTTTCCTGACAAGTGAGTCGTCATCTGGCCCTAGAATGTCTACTTAATGCTCGGGAGGATAGCTCCCACAGTATAAGACAACTTTTGGCCCGATCTGAATTATTCAAGCCATCCCTAGCACCAACCTTCCTTAGGACATTCTGATCGAGTAACGTTTTTTCAAAAACTCAATTATTCTGATTAGTACAATTAATAATTAGGGAATGCCCCTACGCGTCGTTAGTTTCCTGGCCATTGAGTAGTCATCTGGCCCTGAAATTTCTACCTTATGCTCGGGGGGGGGGGGGGGGATAGTCCCCAAAGTCTAAGACAACTTTTGGCACGATCTGAATTGTTCAAGCCATCCGTAGAGCAGCCCTTCCTAAGGAATTCTGATCGAGTTTCGTTTTTCAAAATATAAATTATTCTGTTTATTACAGTTAATTAAGGAATGCCCATTCGCGGCGTCAGTTTCCTGACCAGTGAGTCGTCTTCTGGCCCTGAAATTTCTACTTAATGCTCGGGAGGATAGCCCCCACAGTCTAAGACAACTTTTGGCCCGATCTGAATTGTTTAAGCCATCCCTAGCACCGCCCTTCGAAAGGCATTCCGATCGAGTTTCGTTTTTTCAAAAGATCAATCATTCTGATTAGTACAATTAATAATTAGGGAATGCCCCTACGCGGCGTCAGTTTCCTGGCCATTGAGTAGTCATCTGGCTGTGAAATTTCTACCTTATGCTCGGGAGGATAGTCCCCAAAGTCTAAGACAACTTTTGGCCCGATCTGAATTGTTCAAGCCATCCGTAGAGCAGCCCTTCCAAAGGCATTCCGATCGAGTTTCGTTTTTCAAAATATCAATTATTCTGATTAGTACAATTAATAATTAGGGAACGCCCCTACACGGCGTCAGTTTCCTGACCAGTGAGTCGTCATCTGGCCCTGCAATGTCTACTTAATGCTCGGGAGGATAGCTCCCACAGTATAAGACAACTTTTGGCCGATCTGAATTATTCAAGCCATCCCTAGCACCAACCTTCCTTAGGACATTCTGATCGAGTAACGTTTTTTCAAAAACTCAATTATTCTGATTAGTACAATTAATAATTAGGGAATGCCCCTACGCGTCGTTAGTTTCCTGGCCATTGAGTAGTCATCTGGCCCTGAAATGTCTACCTTATGCTCGGGAGGATAGTCCCCAAAGTCTAAGACAACTTTTGGCACGATCTGAATTGTTCAAGCCATCCGTAGAGCAGCCCTTCCAAAGGCATTCTGATCAATTTCGTTTTTCAAAATGTCAATTATTCTGTTTATTACAGTTAATTAGGGAATGCCCCTTTGCGGCGTCAGTTTCCTGACTAGTGAGTCGTCATCTGGCCCTGGAATTTCTGCTTAATGCTCGGGAGGATAGCCCCCACAGTCTAAGACAACTTTTGGCCCGATCTGAATTGTTCAAGCCATCCCTAGCACCGCCCTTCGAAAGGCATTCCGATCGAGTTTCGTTTTTTCAAAAGATCAATCATTCTGATTAGTACAATTAATAATTAGGGAATGCCCCTACGCGGCGTCAGTTTCCTGGCCATTGAGTAGTCATCTGGCTGTGAAATTTCTACCTTATGCTCGGGAGGATAGTCCCCACAGTCTAAGACAACTTTTGGCCCGATCTGAATTATTCAAGCCATCCCTAGCACCAACCTTCCTTAGGACATTGTGATCGAGTAACGTTTTTTCAAAAACTCAATTATTCTGATTAGTACAATTAATAATTAGGGAATGCCCCTAGGCCTACGCGTCGTTAGTTTCCTGGCCATTGTAGTCATCTGGCCCTGAAATTTCTACCTAATGCTCGGGGGGGGGGGGATAGTCCCCAAAGTCTAAGACAACTTTTGGCACGATCTGAATTGTTCAAGCCATCCGTAGAGCAGCCCTTCCTAAGGAATTCTGATCGAGTTTCGTTTTTCTAAATATCAATTATTCTGTTTATTACAGTTAATTAAGGAATGCCCATTCGCGGCGTCAGTTTCCTGACCAGCGAGTCGTCTTCTGGCCCTGAAATTTCTACTTAATGCTCGGGAGGATAGCAGTCTAAGACAACTTTTGGCCCGATCTGAATTGTTCAAGCCATCCCTAGCACCGCCCTTCGAAAGGCATTCCGATCGAGTTTCGTTTTTCAAAATATCAATTATTCTGTTTATTACAGTTAATTAAGGAATGCCCATTCGCGGCGTCAGTTTCCTGACCAGTGAGTCGTCATCTGGCCCTGAAATTTCTACCTTATGCTCGGGGGGATAGTCCCCAAAGTCTAAGACAACTTTTGGCACGATCTGAATTGTTCAAGCCATCCGTAGAGCAGCCCTTCCAAAGGCATTCTGATCGAGTTTCGTTTTTCAAAATATCAATTATTCTGATTAGTAAAATTAATAATTAGGGAACGCCCCTACACGGCGTCAGTTTCCTGACAAGTGAGTCGTCATCTGGCCCTAGAATGTCTACTTAATGCTCGGGAGGATAGCTCCCACAGTATAAGACAACTTTTGGCCCGATCTGAATTATTCAAGCCATCCCTAGCACCAACCTTCCTTAGGACATTCTGATCGAGTAACGTTTTTTCAAAAACTCAATTATTCTGATTAGTACAATTAATAATTAGGGAATGCCCCTACGCGTCGTTAGTTTCCTGGCCATTGAGTAGTCATCTGGCCCTGAAATTTCTACCTTATGCTCGGGGGGGGGGGGGATAGTCCCCAAAGTCTAAGACAACTTTTGGCACGATCTGAATTGTTCAAGCCATCCGTAGAGCAGCCCTTCCTAAGGAATTCTGATCGAGTTTCGTTTTTCAAAATATAAATTATTCTGTTTATTACAGTTAATTAAGGAATGCCCATTCGCGGCGTCAGTTTCCTGACCAGTGAGTCGTCTTCTGGCCCTGAAATTTCTACTTAATGCTCGGGAGGATAGCCCCCACAGTCTAAGACAACTTTTGGCCCGATCTGAATTGTTTAAGCCATCCCTAGCACCGCCCTTCGAAAGGCATTCCGATCGAGTTTCGTTTTTTCAAAAGATCAATCATTCTGATTAGTACAATTAATAATTAGGGAATGCCCCTACGCGGCGTCAGTTTCCTGGCCATTGAGTAGTCATCTGGCTGTGAAATTTCTACCTTATGCTCGGGAGGATAGTCCCCAAAGTCTAAGACAACTTTTGGCCCGATCTGAATTGTTCAAGCCATCCGTAGAGCAGCCCTTCCAAAGGCATTCCGATCGAGTTTCGTTTTTCAAAATATCAATTATTCTGATTAGTACAATTAATAATTAGGGAACGCCCCTACACGGCGTCAGTTTCCTGACCAGTGAGTCGTCATCTGGCCCTGCAATGTCTACTTAATGCTCGGGAGGATAGCTCCCACAGTATAAGACAACTTTTGGCCGATCTGAATTATTCAAGCCATCCCTAGCACCAACCTTCCTTAGGACATTCTGATCGAGTAACGTTTTTTCAAAAACTCAATTATTCTGATTAGTACAATTAATAATTAGGGAATGCCCCTACGCGTCGTTAGTTTCCTGGCCATTGAGTAGTCATCTGGCCCTGAAATTTCTACCTTATGCTCGGGAGGATAGTCCCCAAAGTCTAAGACAACTTTTGGCACGATCTGAATTGTTCAAGCCATCCGTAGAGCAGCCCTTCCAAAGGCATTCTGACCAATTTCGTTTTTCAAAATGTCAATTATTCTGTTTATTACAGCTAATTAGGGAATGCCCCTTTGCGGCGTCAGTTTCCTGACTAGTGAGTCGTCATCTGGCCCTGGAATTTCTGCTTAATGCTCGGGAGGATAGCCCCCACAGTCTAAGACAACTTTTGGCCCGATCTGAATTGTTCAAGCCATCCCTAGCACCGCCCTTCGAAAGGCATTCCGATCGAGTTTCGTTTTTTCAAAAGATCAATCATTCTGATTAGTACAATTAATAATTAGGGAATGCCCCTACGCGGCGTCAGTTTCCTGGCCATTGAGTAGTCATCTGGCTGTGAAATTTCTACCTTATGCTCGGGAGGATAGTCCCCACAGTCTAAGACAACTTTTGGCCCGATCTGAATTATTCAAGCCATCCCTAGCACCAACCTTCCTTAGGACATTGTGATCGAGTAACGTTTTTTCAAAAACTCAATTATTCTGATTAGTACAATTAATAATTAGGGAATGCCCCTAGGCCTACGCGTCGTTAGTTTCCTGGCCATTGAGTAGTCATCTGGCCCTGAAATTTCTACCTTATGCTCGGGGGGGGGGGGGGGGATAGTCCCCAAAGTCTAAGACAACTTTTGGCACGATCTGAATTGTTCAAGCCATCCGTAGAGCAGCCCTTCCTAAGGAATTCTGATCGAGTTTCGTTTTTCTAAATATCAATTATTCTGTTTATTACAGTTAATTAAGGAATGCCCATTCGCGGCGTCAGTTTCCTGACCAGCGAGTCGTCTTCTGGCCCTGAAATTTCTACTTAATGCTCGGGAGGATAGCAGTCTAAGACAACTTTTGGCCCGATCTGAATTGTTCAAGCCATCCCTAGCACCGCCCTTCGAAAGGCATTCCGATCGAGTTTCGTTTTTCAAAATATCAATTATTCTGATTAGTACAATTAATAATTAGGGAATGCCCCTACGCGTCGTTAGTTTCCTGGCCATTGAGTAGTCATCTGGCCCTTAAATTTCTACCTTATGCTCGGGAGGATAGTCCCCAAAGTCTAAGACAACTTTTGGCCCGATCTGAATGTTCGAGCCATCCCTTGCTTGCACCGCCCTTCCAAAGAGTTTCGTTTTTTCAAAAGATCAATTTTTCTGAAACTTGGAAGCAGAAAACCCAAGAGGCGGAGAAACTTTCCGTCAGAAGTGGATTTAATGTGGTAAATATATAATTATAAGTGCTTACAGTTGTTAAAGTGTAGAATTTTTATTGCAGATGAGGTGAAGTGAGTTCGGGATGTTTATCGTGGAATATTTAGTGAGGTATTTACGAGAAAGTTGAACTTCTTAATGGTGGTGATTCTTCAATGATGTACCATTTCTTCTTCTTCTTCTTCTTCGCTATAAGTACAGGCCACCGTCGGGTGTATTCTCGTACTGATTGTAGGTGCTGTGCAGGTGTATATATACATGTAGTGTCTCATTTACTGGTAGTACGGCGTTGGTAGTAGTGCACAGGCGCAGGCACTGCACGCACTGAGCTGAGCTGAGCTGAAGTGGGTCTGCGATCATACGAGTACGAGTTAGCCGGTCTGCCGCGTCGCTCCTGCCCATTTCGCCCCTGCCCATTTCGCCCCTGTATTTGGATGATTTGCCAGGACATGATCGTATGCCTATGACTACATGTATATCTATGTCAGCATTTGTTGAATAACAAATTATAAACTAGAGCCTAGAGTAGTAGTGTTTGGTTGTGTAAATTATAGATAATTTTGTTATTGAGTGGCCCAGAGAATGAGAGATAGAAGACTCTACGCACAATTTTGTTCTGGCACCTGCAGTTAACTGGCATGTGTTTTTCCTTATACTGAATAATTGACATCATTTTACTGAAAATTGACAAGTGCTTTGTCCACACACCATTTCTGCACTTCATCATCATCATGGCTCTCCTTGCAGGTTATCCTCGTAAACGTGGAAAATTTGTGTCCTTAACGCGGCCGTTTTTCTTCTGCATGTAGAACTTTAGCTTACATTTAGTGCATGTGCATAACGTTCCTCCGATCTCAGCGAAGTGCAGCCTTATTTTCCTAAATTGGCCCAGCTAGAGGAGCTGTTTCACAAAGATCCTAAGTAGAACTTAACACTAAGTTGGACTTAAAAATTATGGACAGCCATTGGAGCCTTAAATAAGATATATTCAAAAGCAGAAATTCAAGTATTTTAGACTTTTTATAAATTCTACATCAAGAACATGAAATTTCCTATGAAAATAGAAAATATAAATGATTTGAATCAACATTTTATGCCATTTATAATAACTTTTACCAGATGTTTTCAATGATGCTAATGGCTTTCCATAATATTTAAGTCCAACTTAGAGATAAGTTCGACTTAGGATCTTTGTTAAACAGGGCCCAGGACCCTTCTCATTGGCTATCGCTGGCTGACTGCCGGCTGCTGCCACTCGCTCAATGTTATAAGACATTGGTGCGAGTGAGGAGAAAGCTTGCGATTTCCTGTTTGATCCGATACCAAATCAATGATATTTTAATCAAACCCTTTATTTGTTACGATTTTGATCAGCATCCTTAAAAGGTTAAGTATTTCATGTAAGTTTAAGTCTGATGTAACTTTTTTTAAGTTTGAAAAATTCTCATCAAAATTGTAAGTAAAAAATGGTACCAACTGCATGATTGTATGATATCTAATTACCTTGCAAATTATCAAATGACCTTATTTTTGATGGATCACATTTTTCCAGCTGTAAATACCTGTGCGTGAAGCCGTGAAGTTATGTAAGGTCTTGTTGTTTTTATCAATTTTTTAGTTCCAGCGCGCACGGCGCCCAACACTGAAATTTTAGATCGCAATATCTCTGTAATCCTTTGACAATAAATTTTCTTGTTGAACCATGTTTGTAGTAAAAAACTGTGCCGTTTATTTGTTAATAATTAAAATGAATAAATTTGTGTAGAATATGAGAAATCAAAGATCAAATATCACATTCTCTCATATTTTCAAAATCTCTGCAAACTTTGGTCACCCCTTCATACATGTACATGTACATGTGTATCTGTTATACTGTAACAAGGTGATTTTGATGGTCCCAGCTCTCTATATTTGTTTATTTATGTTTTTTTACCCTGATATAACAAGATTCCTGATACATGTACACTGTATAACAATGAGTAAATCCCAGGTTGGCCTCAAGGACCTCACAAGTTTCTACTGTACCTGTATATATTTTCTAATTTACAGATTAAAGGTAAAACATAGTTTTGGTATGGGTCATGAATTTGGTTCAAATGAACATATTGGAAGCATATTATGCAATTTTACAATATTCAATGATCGTTGTCCCGGTTAAAATAAAAAATCAATGAATACGAAGCTAGAAGAGAGCGCGCGACCGCTCGTAATCGTTACGGGGGCGATTTAAGATCATTTCACTTTTTGATGTCGCCCCCGAAATCGGATTTTGAGCCTATTTCGGGGGCTGTTTATGGTCTTTCCGGGGCGAATCTGCCCTCCGCCCTCGTGTATTTTTTTGGCTGGTGAAAAAAATACATGGGGGCTCAGGGTGAATTTGCTTCCGAATTGCCCAAAAGAGCCCCCGAAAATCAGAAAAGAGCCCCCGTAAATGTGCATAGAGTTCAATGCAAAACAAATTTTAGAGTGTTATTTTTATGCAGGCAAGCTTGAAAAATAGCCCCCAAAAAATAAATATTAATTTTTTCCCGGGAGAGCAATGTTCTTACTGTCATATTACACACATGGGAATATGAGAATTACATGTATTCTTATATATTTTTATTCTTTCATGTACTGTACAGTAGGCTACATGTATGTTTTTGGGTTGTTCGTGCGAGGTCAATTTCTGAGATTCTAGATATTAGCCTTGTTATATCGTGATATCTCAAGAACCACTTGAGATATGAGGCTCAACCTTGGTGATAGTATGGGTCACCATTGGAAGACAATTTAATTAGATGTTTGGTAAGTACTGTAGGTCAAAGGTCATAGAGGTCAATTACCTTTTTGGGCTATTACATTGTACATGTAGGTCGTCAAGATCATAGTCAGTACCTAGACATTTTGTTTTTATTGTTACATGTACATTGTATACAGATCACATCCATTTCCTATACTGAATTTAGGGTGGAGGCATATTATTTTAATCTTCTTTCTTTCTTATAATTGTGAGGGAATGAGAAATAGCCCTTTCTTTATAATGCAAATTATTCAGGGACAAAAGGAATGTACCTAAGGAGGAGTGATATGCCCCAGTGAACATACACTCACTGTATGCAGGTTAAAGCTCATACATGCAGTGAGCAGAGATGGGACTGGTTGTAGCTGTGCCTACATGAAGCTGTAATTGATGTCTCATCCTGATATTCTTGATGTATATAGTTGATTTTGGACACCTTAATATCAACTGAAGTGACTTCATGCAGTCAAGGGTCTTCTACCCTCTTTTGTTTAGTTGAACATTGTGAAATAAAGATTGGCCTCATACCCAATAGAACCGCAACAACTGCTTCGTCTCATTTATGACTTCGAGTCGATACCCTCACATTTGGTAGTACGGATGGGGTGCGGTTTCTCTTCAGATACCTGAGAACTATTGGCTTGGCCAGGTGTGTAGCTAGCAAGGAGTACAAGACAAAAGAGGGTAGGAAGATGACGACCATGGAAGAGATGAGGGAGGAGCTGGAAAAGCTGTCATTGGAGCTGAAAAGTCGGGAAGTGTATTTCCCTCCCAAGGAAAAGAAAATCAGGCCCTTTAGTGGCACTGAAAACATGCTGGTCTCAGATTTTGTGGAGGACATTAGAGCAGGAATTAAACTTCGAAAGCTGACAGGTGAGAGTGCTATTGACTACTTGCTAGCTCACTTGGAAGGATCTGCAAGGCAGGAGGTGCAACATCGCCAAGATGGAGAAAAGAAGGATGCAGAGTCAATAATGAACATCTTATTGGAAGCTTTTGGGGACAAGCTGACTGCTAGTCAACTGATGCGGCAGATATATAACCGAGTACAAAATGAAGATGAGTCTGTGGCACAGTACGCATATGCCTTACTTGCATTTGCGACTCGATTGCAACGTAAACCAGGAGCTCCAGAGTCAAAGAATATCATCAAAGAACAGTTTGGAGATGGTTTGAGTGACCCAGTACTCAGGAGAGAAATGAAGCGGTTGTCTAAAGAAAAGCCAGAATTGTCTTTTCTAGAGGTACGAGACTGGGCGGTGGAGATGGATGAGGGAGAACTTAAGGGCATCAACCCACGCAAAAAGAAATGCACCACCTACCAGGCCGAAGCCACAGCACAGATGGGAAAGATGATAGAGGGGCTCACTGCAGCGATTAATGGCCAAACACAGTTACTTGACAAGATGATAGTACAACAGGGCATTTTCAACTCTCGTCTAAGTCAGTTAGAGGAGAGGCAGGACAATGCCAGGAGTTCCAGGAGACCTCCCCTAGACAAGAGCAAGATTGAGTGCCATCGATGCCACCGAATGGGTCATTATGCAAGGGAGTGTGAGAGTCCTCATCCTGGGGGCAATCCACGCACACAGAGGGCTGGACAGTCAAACAGTCAGCAACAGCAACAGGGAAACTGAATACACCCAGGGCTGAGAGCCAAGCCCTGGGTGCCTCGTCAGAGATGTTTGGAAGGGGCTCTAGAAATGGAGAGAAAGACAAGCTCATTGGTATTTGCCCCACGAGCGTCATTTCTGTTAATGGGATGGAACTCACTAGTGTGGTAGACTGTGGGTCTCAAGTCACAACTATCACTTCCGATTGTTTCCAGCGATCATTTCCGCCATTGACCCTGAAGGACTTAAACTGGATTTCTCTTAGTGCAGCAAATGGGACAGATATTCCTTACTCTGGATATTTTGAGGCTGATGTGACTATTGCTGGCATTACAGTTCCGGAAAGAGGTATTCTAGTAACAAATACAACACATAAACCAAAACATCCCATTCTGCTTGGAATGAATGTTCTACAAGGATTGCCAGTTGAGACCTTAGCAACTGTAATTGGAGCTAATGCGTCAGTTGTCACAAGCAAGAACTTGATCGACAAGAACAGTACCTTGGGCCTTGTTCGTGTAGCTGGAAGAGGGAAAGTGAGAGTCCCAGCTCGATCAATACAAGCTATAGAGGTGACAGGTCCCACTTGTTCTACCCAAACTGCGGTAATTGTGGACCAAATTGTGCAAACTCCGAAGGGAATCATCCTCAGTCCGACGCTGGCTCATTCGTGTAGGGGAAGAATAACTGTACAATTATACAATACCACAGATGAGGATATCTTCTTAAACACCAGAACTCCAATTAGATCTCTTCAACTTGCATCGATGATCGATGACAATAGTGTCCTGTGTCAAAGAATGGTTGCAAGTGGGGACCAACAAGCTGATACAGGTAGAATGAAACTACTAGAGACACCTGGACTACTATGGCAAGGACTGAGTGAGGAGCAGAGACAACAAGCAGAAGCCCTGTTGTTACGAAATAGTGATGTCTTTGCTGCCTCAGAAGAGGACTTGGGCCACACGGAAACGGTAACCCACCGAGTCAGAACAGTAGACGAGGAGCCTGTTAAGCTTCCTTACAGACGTATCCCTCCATCCCAGCTGGAAGAAGTAAGAGAGCATATTCGAAAGCTACTGGAGAAAAAGGTTATCAAGGAAAGTACAAGCCCTTATGCATCACCAATTGTATTGGTTCGCAAAAAAGATGGTTCATTGAGGATAACCTCAATGAACCATCTTTTTTGCGAACCAATACAATTGGTGATGCATAAGTGTGGACTACCGCAAATTGAATCAGAAAACTAGGAAAGATGCCTACCCAATACCAAGGATTGACGAATCAATGGATGCGTTACATGGCGCACAATGGTTTTCAACACTTGATCTCTTGTCGGGCTATCACCAAGTGGCTATGGATGAGAGGGACCAGCACAAGACAAGCTTCACAACACCCTTCGGCTTATACGAATATGTACTGATGCCTTTTGGATTGTGCAATGCGCCAGGAACATTCCAGCGTCTTATGCAAATTTGCCTAGGGGACCAGTTCTTCTCGTCCGTCTTGTGCTATCTGGACGACATTTTAGTGTATTCGTCTACCTTTGAAGGACAGCTCGAGAGACTAGACCGCGTATTTGACAGGCTTCGTGAGCATGGCCTAAAGATCAAGCCCTCAAAATGTGAACTTTTCCGTCCAGAAGTGAAGTATTTGGGCCATAAAGTTTCCAGAGAGGGCGTGCAGACAGATCCGGACAAGATAGAGGTGGTAAAGAGCTGGCCAACACCAAGGAATCTGAAAGAGCTACGCTCTTTTCTAGGGTTCTGCTCTTTCTATCGACGATTTGTACAGGGATTTTCACAGACTGCTGGTCCCCTGCACAGTCTGGTTGCCATCCAAGTTGAGAGAAGGAATTGCATGGGAACCAGAACACCAGGCGGCATTTGAGGAGCTCAAAGAGAAACTGTGTCAACCGCCAGTGCTTGGCTATGCAGACTTCACAAAACCATTTGAGCTCGAGGTTGATGCAAGTCTACAGGGACTAGGTGCTGTTCTTTTCCAGAGACAAGATGGTAAGCGTTTGGTAATTGCCTATGCCAGTCGAACGCTCAGAGGTGCAGAGAAGAACATGGAAAGGTACTCCAGTATGAAGCTTGAATTACTGGGGATGAAATGGGCAATTTCAGAGAAATTCAGAGACTATCTTATTGGGAGTACATTTACAGTGTTCACAGACAATAACCCTCTGGCTCATCTTAACTCGGCGAAACTAGGGGCTGTAGAACAGCGATGGGTTGGCGCCCTCTCTGCATTCAACTTTGATGTACAATACAAACCTGGAGCGTCAAACAAGGTAGCTGATGGTTTATCTCGACGCCCCCATGCGTCACCCGACACTGCACAAGAGGCGACATATACTTCTGATGGATGTTGTATGGTAGTGGGAGCTACTCGGTTGCCAGAGGAACTCCAGCACACTCATGTCTCTTCCCAATCTATCCAAGATGAGGGAGAAATGCTGGATAATGAGGAACCCAGGGAACAGTTGGAAGAATTTCAGCTTCTAGACTGGCTGGCTAAGCTCACCAAGGTTCTACAATGGGCTTACCAAAAAGCCGGGGAGAGACTTGGACATGAAGCAGTTTATCGCAAGGCACACTACGACAAATCTGCTAAAGAGAGACCACTGACAGTTGGCACCAGAGTGTACCTAAGGAGCCATCCTCAAGGTATTGCTGATGGGTGGCAATCAACGGTATACAAGATTGTATCCCGACCAGGAGAGGGAGCAGTCTATGCTATTGAGAAAGCAGATGGAAGTGGTGGTCCACGGACTGTCAACCGAAGGGAGCTAAAGGTGTGCCCAGTCAGTGAACAATCAGACCCTGTCATTCTCAAAACTAGACAGGGGAGAACACGCAATACCCCCCAAGAGCAGACTGATAGCATTTCTGATGACTCCAGCTCAGCCATTGAAATAGTGGTAAGGGATCTACCAGCTGAGTCCACTGACGAACAGCCTGATTTATATGTCTGGACCCCTGAACCAGAATCCAGTGATGAGGATGACCTCCTTTCCCCACCTCCACGTCCACGTCGAAGCCTGAGGCCAACTAAAGGGAAACACAGCAATCCTCTTCGTCTACCTCGGTCTGCAGCGACAGCTAACTTCATCGATGGTAATGCCAGAGTAAAGCCAAGTGCACAGAACGAACATAGTGTAGTTTTGATTGACAGACTCCTAAGTGGTATTAATCGCGAGTTACATTGGGATGAAACCTCTACGTCATATTAATAGCAACTCTTACTACCTGATGTGGAACTATTACTGGAGAAAGCGGTTGGAATCTTGTGGACGATATCAGTGTTTGTGAACATAAAACTTTAATCGATATTATTGAAGAAAACAGTGGAAATATTGATTGATAAGATGTGTTTGTGAACAAACACATTAATTATATTTTTTGTTCTTTTCATACAGGTATAGGAAAGAAATGTACTTAAAGTTGGGATTTGGGGAGGAGAATAGTTTTGTTTTGATGTATATCTGGAGAAGTATATGTTTATCTTGAGACAAGGGCAAATTTATACTGTACATGTATCTTGGTGCCTAGTATGCAACTATATGGAAAGTTTGAGGACAAACTTTGATTTTAGCAGGGGAGATTGTGAGGGAATGAGAAATAGCCCTTTCTTTATAATGCAAATTATTCAGGGACAAAAGGAATGTACCTAAGGAGGAGTGATATGCCCCAGTGAACATACACTCACTGTATGCAGGTTAAAGCTCATACATGCAGTGAGCAGAGATGGGACTGGTTGTAGCTGTGCCTACATGAAGCTGTAATTGATGTCTCATCCTGATATTCTTGATGTATATAGTTGATTTTGGACACCTTAATATCAACTGAAGTGACTTCATGCAGTCAAGGGTCTTCTACCCTCTTTTGTTTAGTTGAACATTGTGAAATAAAGATTGGCCTCATACCCAATAGAACCGCAACAACTGCTTCGTCTCATTTATGACTTCGAGTCGATACCCTCACATAATGATTACCTGAACTGCTAAAGATTCATTTGTGCTTATTTGATTTGATTATTTTGTCTGATTCAGATTCAGCCAGTATCCCGTCACATGCACAACAAGCCTTAGGCATGGTTGCCAGGACGTCAAGCCCTCACCATAGCAATACCATAGCAACCTCAGTACATAGCCCTCCAAGCCCCGCCCCTAGCTCCTCACCTCCCAATACAGGCAGTACAGCTATGCACCCAGATGAACTACATTCAAGGTACGTACAGGAGAATTGCAATTGGTCTGAAACCCTGTTCCCATCTGAAAAGTGCATTGTAACCGACAGAAAAAAACAACTTTGGCGAAACTAAAACCAATTTGCCAGCAGGGTTTTAAAAAGTTACATGTACATTATGCAACTGTGGGTGGATAAAAGCTGAGAATGATTTTTGGGATATGATGGTATGGACTAAATTACAAATTTACAGAGGAATCTGAACAAACTAGAGGAATTTCTATGCTGTCCCATATTAGTTAACAATAATGTTTCTTAAAGATAAAGTTGAGTTCTGGTAGTATGTCATGCGATTGCATTTTGGAAGAAACTGTGTGGAATCGATCAGAAAAAGTTGATCATGTAGCATATAAGTATTGGTGTGTACTGCAAGATTCTGGAGTCGTCAAAATGATAAGAAATTTGCCCCATTATTGGTAAAGTAACAACCACTATACACAAAAAGATGTATATGGGACCGCACAAACATGTGGCATAAAAATAAGGCCTCGTTCTTAAGCTGTTGAAGAGCCATGCTTTTCAGGGAACATTTTTTTCTCTGATGTTCTTCCACACTTGTGGTAATAACAATGATAACGCTCGCAAATTACTTGTCACCTCTCCCCAGAACTCAATCTTCTCCTTAAGTACTTATATTAGTGGAAACCATGTTCTTGAGTTTTCAAATGTTTGAGCCATATTTTGCTTTGGCATTTCAAAATGACACTGCTGTCTTTTATATTTTCTTCTGAAAGTGACAACTGCTCTTACTGGAATTTTACTGTGATATTCTTGTATTGCACTCTTGTATAAATGTACTATAATATAAAAGAAATTGCTGAGAACAGTGATGATAACAGTGATCAGTACAGAATATGAGGAATTCAGAAATATGTTGTTTACCGGTAACTGAATTCTTTGCAGACAATAAATATTATGTGAGGATCCCACTAAATTATTTCACTTTTAAAAAACTACATTGCCGTGAACCGGATGCACCAAAAGCACTCAAGCATGCTGGATTTGTTTTCCAAAAATACAAAGTTCCATGAATCTTTGTTAAAACCTGTTTATAGAAATGTACTGCTAGATCTTATTCCCCATAGTGGAAGTTCTGAATGACAAGGAAGATCTATCAAATGTTTGCACGAAAGGTGACATTTTGAGGCTTGAAATTCTGAAAAGAATGTACAAACCCAATTACATTTGGAAGTACCCCACCCCCCCCCCCCAACAAAAAAGAGACAGAAGCCCGGGAGATTGGGACCTTTGAAATTAGTAAATGTTAATGAAAAACAAACCTACAAAATACGAAACATCAAAATTAAAAAAACAGAGCTTCCAATCAAATTAATCTGCCAGTTGGTTGCAATGTACATGTTAGTAATGTTTGATCTTCTTGGTAATTTAAGTAATGTTAATTTGTTAAGTTATGTTAGTAATATTTTGTTTTCTTGGTAATTTGAATAATGTTAATTCCATGAGTAATATTGATTTTTCTTGAAGTAATTTTGATTTGTTTACAGTGCTTTGAAACTTTTATGTTGCAAGTGCTATATAAATTTGTTTGTATTATTGTTATTTACTGTACTTTATGTCACTTTAATTTATATTTACATACTTTGTACAACATTTTGTGAATTATGACATACACATGTAAGAAAAAGCCATGAAAATATATTGATTATGTTGAAAGTCTGCCTCCCACTTTTTAGCTCTCACTCTTTCTTCCATGTTTCTCTGCAGAGGCCAAAGATTAACCAAAGAATCGATGAAGAAATACCTAGAGGACCGATGTCATCAGACAGTCGTCATACAACATGCCAAAGTAGCCCAGAAGTCGTACGGGAACGAGAAAAGGTAGATAATAATAACAATAATAGTTCGTTCTTTTATAGCGCATTTCAGGACCAAAGGCCCTCTCAAAGCGCTTTACAATGTACAATGTACAATGTACATTTACATAATTACTTGAAGCATTCATCAAAAAGGTGAGTTTTCAGTGCTCTCTTAAAAACTTCAACATCAGTCATGGAGCGTAGCGACACTGGGAGAGCATTCCAAAGCTTTGGTCCACCACATGCAAATGCCCTGTCACCATAGGTTTTTGTGGCTCCATGATTGAGGGTGAGAAGGTGTTGAGAAGATGACTGCAAACGCCTTAGTGGGATGTACGGTGTGACCAAATCTGAGATGTACTCTGGACACATGCCATGGAGAGTTTTGAAAACGATTAGAATTACCTTGTAGCGGATCCGTAACTGAACTGGCAACCAGTGTAGATCTCTTAAGATAGACGTTATGTGTTGAGACCTCTTCACTCTTGACACTAAGCGAGCTGCAGAGCTGCAGAGGGATAAATTTTAATCGCTCAAGACATTTTGGCAGTCTAGTTTGGTCCTGACCAGGTTTAAAATTTGTAGACCAGTTCTTATCATGCGATTGCATTGTGAAAGAAACGTTGCGGAATTGATCAGAAAAGGTTGATCATCTAGCATAAGTGTTGGTGTGGACTGCAAGGTTCTGGAATCACCAAAATGATATGAAATTTGGCCTAGTCTTGGCAAAGTTACAAGCACTGTACACAGAAAGATGTATATGGGACTACGCGATATGTATCCAGTCCGGATTGATATAATAATTTACCAAATATATCAATTAGTAGGTGGTTTCACGGCAAAATTTGTATCATCACGTATTAGTCAAAACATATTCTTTCACATGATTGGTAATAAGAGCTTCCATTTAATTTTTTGAGAGGGGGGGCGTTTCAAAAACTGGTCTATACCCTTTAATAGACAGTGCAGAAGCATTACATTTAAATTACTGAGATCGCAGACGGTCAGCACCAGATACCTACATGTAGAGAACAATAACTTCAAGGCAAGCTCACAGCAGTGGGGAGCATTCACGATACACCTCTGTAAGTATACAGAGAAACCTATATATCAAGAAGATAAAGCAGTCAGTCATTATGAGCATGTGGTTTTAAAGGTACTGTGTCCCTTTTGCAGGCCAAAAAAATGAAAGTTAAATTCCAACGGCATTTGAAAGATAATACTAATTTAGAACTTCCCTAAAAAAGGTGGGGCTTGAAAATGTCTTCAAGTGGGAAAATAACGACTATTAGTTGTCAAATCGACTTAGGAGCTATAGAGCAAGTAAGTAATACTCTTGATTTTCTGACCATTGTACCGAATGGTCATACGTTTTATGCTGCGCAAAGATTCAATCACTTTAATTTTAGCCCTCACAAGAAGTGGGTTATTGATGTAGGCAAATGCTCATTTACCCTTTACAGCTCATTTTGAAAAGCATAATTTGAATATTAGGACACTGCTAATGTTTAAATTTCATAGATAGGACATACATGACATATTCATAATTCCTGCAAAGTTCTGCAGAATTTGAGGTTGGCTGCAAAAGGGACATAGTACCTTTAAAGGTATAAACCAGTTTGGAAACGCACCCCCCCCCCCTCAAAAGATGAAAAGCAAGCTCTTTTTACCAATCATGTGAAAGAATATGTTTGACTGATACGTGATAACAATTTTGCCGGGAAACTGCCTACTAATTGATATAGTTCGTAAATTATTATATCTATGCGGACTAGATAGATATAGGGTAGTCCCATATACATCTTTCTGTGTACAGTGCTTGTAACTTCACCAGATGACCATATTTCTTATCATTTTAATGATTCCAGAACCTTGCAGTACACACCAAGACTTACATGTAGATGATCAACCTTTTCTGATCGATTCCACAGCGTTTCTTTCACAATACAATCGCATGACCAGAACTGGTCTATACCTTTAATGTTCAGGTTCTTGTAGGGAGTTCTCTTATTTCATTCCAGACTCGTACATTATATAATGGAAATACTGTATGAGCTATGATATATGATATACAAACTAGGCGTTGTGGCGTGCGCCTGTAATCCAGCTAACAGTGGAAGTTACAAACTGATTCAGGCGAGGATGCAGGTTCGAGTCAAGTCTTTTAGATGGTCACGTTTAAAGTCGGTCCCCGGACGTAAATAATCATATCTGATTGATACATGTCTGTAAAAACCCTATACACACACACACACACAGCTATGATTTCTATGCATTTCCATGAATTGCTGGATGGCAAATTCAGCAAAATATGAAATTAAGCCTCATGTACTAATGCTTCTTTGACCACCTTTGACCACCTTCTTTGACCATGTACATGTAGGTAGTAGCCTGAGTGTTTTAATATCAAGAAAATAACAACCTGCAAAATATATCCGTCCCTGTCAGTAGCGGATATGTCTGTTGGAAATAATGTTTGCTCATACAGTAATAATAATAATAGTAATACCATTTTGTATATTGAGTAACAATTTCAGCCGTAAAGGTTGCTAGTATTGAATGAAATAAATCTTCAATCTTAAAGGGATCCGGTAACTTTGTCTTAGATCCTTTAAACAAACCCTTGATTTAGCTCATGCTGCAATGATGATTATGAACTTTTAGGTCAGTCAGGAAACCCGTGACTTTTACAAGCCAATCGCCTGTGTGATTATCAAGATATTTATGATTGAAAATTGAAATCAAATTTTCTGTTTACCAAACGGTTTTCATAACACTACAGTCTATTTGGGAAAACGAGTATGGTAAAGCCGGTCACTCAAAGGTTTTTACTTTTTTGAGGCACTTCTTGATCATTTTGAAGAGCAATTTTTTTTTAGGGCTTCAATATAACACCATATCACAGACACTGATAACATGTAGAGCCGTGCATCTCAGATGTAACATTGTTAGACGATCCCTTTAATAATTTGTTCTTTGTTCAGTTTGTGATAATTTGGTAGTATGAAAACATGATGCAGCTGTATTCTTTTAATACTACCATCTTGGATGAACGAGCTCAATAACAAAACAAAACAAGCTTTTCCTCAGTATTATCTTATTCTATTAATGCAACCTTCTTAAAATTATGATGATTATTAAATGTTATGTTGAAATGTAATTATTTTGTCTGTATTTATATATTTATGTACATGTATAGCACCTTTAAATGTCAGAAGACAAATTTTATGTATTTTTTTACATGACAATAAATTTATGTTGAATCTTGAAACCTTATCTCTTGCAGTGGATGATGATAAATCAGAAAGTGAGGAATTCACGGTTCGAGAGGGCTACATTCACTACGGGTCTACCATCAAACTAGTGGATACAATCACTGGTATGACCCTACCAAGACTGGTAAGTTACCCATCTTAGACCTCCTTACATGAAGGCTGGGATGTTTTGTATACAATGAGAAAGCATTACAGTCTGCAAAGAGACTGGTAAGTTACCCATCTTAGACCCCCTTTCATGAAGGCTGGGATATTTTGTATACAATGAGAAAGCATTACAGTCTGCAAAGAGACTGGTAAGTTACCCATCTTAGACCTCCTTACATGAAGGCTGGGATACTTTGTATAGAATGAGAAAGCATTACAGTCTGCAAAGAGACTGGTGATTGAACCTTGAATGGATTGACAATCAAACAAGTGAATACAATCACTAGCATGACCCTCCCTACCAAGCATGGTGAGTGAACCTTGTTAGATAATTCTACCTCACATGCTCCGATGATAATATTCCTAACTGCAGCACCGAAGCAAACATTCTGCCTAACCCAAACGCTCTATCTTAGACTCAATAATGTCTAGAGCTGTTGTTACCAAAGCAAATGTAGGGTTACCTGTATGAAAGGATGGCATACTACTTTCAACCCGGAAGTGAATGTGGAAGAAAGCAATATTAATCCCATCTGGGGGATGTTTCACAAAGATTCTAAGTTGAACTTATCTCTAAGTTGGACTTGACTCTCATGGAAAGGCGTTAGCATCTATGTAAACATTTTTGTAAAAGTTTTTTAAATGGCATAAAATTTTGATTTAGATCATTCATATTTTCTATTATCAAGGAGATTCCATGTTCTTGATGTGGAATTTATGAAACGTCTAAACTACTTGAATTATCGCTTATGAATATATTTTATTTTGAGGCTACAAATGGCTCTCCATAATTTTTAAGTCCAACTTAGGATCTTTGTGAAACACCCCCTGCTTTATATTTTCTTCTCTTATTTGAACAGATAATCCGCTAAGTTGACAAGCAGATGGCTCTGATGGACGCTGATGATCCGGTCTCACAACTTCACAAATGTGCATTCTATATGAAGGACACTGATAAGATGTATCTATGCCTCTCACAAGAAAGAATTATACAGTTTCAGGTGAGTCAATATATGGCACAAGAGAGACACAAACGTGCATTCTACATGAAAGACACCGATAAGATGTATCTATGCCTCTCACAAGAAAGAATTACCGTATTTGCCGGCGTAAAGGCTGCAGTATTTTTGGAAGAGAAAATATCAAAAAGTTGGGGTGCGGCCTATGCGGCGAAAGAGTAAAAAAAAAATTTTTTTTAAAAGTCAAAACCAGCACGAATTTGCACATATGGGACTATACATCTTGCATTGTTGACATGAAGACGTAAATAAACTTCCAAAAACAACATCTCCCGATAGATCTTGATCTAAGTTCGTGCCAATGCATTGCAAAAGTAAAAGAAGGGCCCGTTTAACGGAGCTGCCGCGAAGCATCTAGCACGCGAAGTCGCTATTTTGAATCCATTTCAATACACAAGAGAGAGGCGCAATGTATACATCACAGAAAACTCCATATGCTAGCATCAGTGCGGCATGGCCGAGCGGTCTAAGGCACTGATTTTAGTCACATCATCTTTTTTTTTTTTTTTCCGAGCGTTCTTAGGCTGTTTTATGCCATTTGTACGCAAGGGATTGATCACATCCCGACTTTCACAATTTTTTTTTTTTTTTTTTTTTTTTTTTTTAAATGTCAAAATCGGGGGTGCGGCCATATCGCCGGCAAATACGGCATACAGTTTCAGGTGAGTCAATATATGGCACAAGAGAGACACTAATGTGCATTCTACATGAAGGACACTGATAAGATGTATCTATGCCTCTCACAAGAAAGAATTAAACAGTTTCAGGTGAGTCAATATATGACACAAGAGAGACACAAATGTGCATTCTACATGAAGGACAATGATAAGATGTATCTATGCCTCTCACAAGAAAGAATTAAACAGTTTCAGGTGAGTCAATATATGACACAAGAGAGACACAAATGTGCATTCTACATGAAGGACAATGATAAGATGTATATATGCCTCTCACAAGAAAGAATTAAACAGTTTCAGGTGAGTCAATATATGACACAAGAGAGAAACAAATGTGCATTCTACATGAAGGACAATGATAAGATTATCTATACCTCTCACAAGAAAGAATTATACAGTTTCAGGTGAGTCAATATATGACACGAGAGATATCAGGATTTGCGCGTTATGTGCATGCTAACCTGTTTATCTATCTAACCCTGTAAGTTGGGGCTTTGATCGGATTGGAAGATCGGAGCGACACCCTCGCACCTGTGATCGGTATCGGCAAATTTTTTTTTTTTTTAATGCCGAAAATTGTCAAGTTTTGGGCTATCAAATGCTTTAAAAAAATTAAAGCTGGGATTATTTTGTCATTTGGAGTTGTTGTAGACCATGTTTGTTGATATTTAGTGCCTTTTCATGACTTTGAAATTAATAATATTGGTCTAAGAGAAGAGGCAAAACCCGGCCCCCCCCCCACTGTCCGGTAAACGGGTACTTTTCGTGCGACAAAGTCCGGCCCGAGAATTGTAAAAAAAGGGGTATATTAACTTTTCACCCGGACATTTCTTTAAAAAGGGGGTGTTTTTTCTTTTTTTCTCTCGTCTCTTTGGACTCCGGAGAAGATGACTGTTGTTTGTACTGGGGGGGGGGGGGGGTTGTCATGTTTGAAAAAAGTGCAGAGCTGTGTGATGTGGGTTCATGACACCCTTTTACCACCAGCTAAAATATGATTACATTTGTGTGTAAGGGGGGGGGGGGGGTTGTCATGTTTGAGAAGAGTGCAGAGCTATGTGATGTGGGTGGACAATTACCCTTTTACCACCAGCTGATATAAGATTACTCCTGTGTTTAGGGGAGGGGGGGGGGGAACGATTGTCATGTTTGAGAAGAGTGCAGAGCTGTGTGATGTGGGTGCATGTACACCCTTTTACCACCAGCTGATATAAGATTTCACCTGTGTGTACGGTGGGAGGGTTGTCACATTTGAGATGAGTGCATAGAGCTGTGTGATGTGGGTTCACCACACCCTTTTACCACCAGCTGATATAAGATATCTCTCGTGTGTTTAGTGGGGGTGGGGGGAGGGTTGTCATGTTTGAGAAGAGAGCAGAAGGCTGTGTGATGTGGGTTCACCACCCCCTTTTACCACCAGCTGATACATGATTACTCCTGTGTGTAGGGGGGGGGGGGAGGGTTGTCATGTTTGAGAAGAGAGCAGATAGCTGTGTGATGTGGGTTCACCACACCCTTTAACCACCAGCTGATATATGTTTACACCTGTGTGTAAGGGGGGGTGTGTCATATTTGCGAAGAGTGCAGAAGGCTGTGTGATGTGGGTTCACGACACCCTTTTACCACCAGCTGATACATGATTACTCCTGTGTGTAGGGGGGGGGGGGAGGGTTGTCATATTTGAGAAGAGAGCTGTGTGATGTGGGTTCATGACACCTTTTAACCACCAGCTGATATATGATAACCCCTGTGTGTAGGGGGGGGGGTTGTCATGTTTGAAAAAAGTGCAGAGCTGGGTGATGTGGGTTCAGGACACCCTTTTACCACCAGCTGATATAAGATTACTCCTGTTTGTAGGGAGAGGGGGAGGGGGGGGGGTTTCATTTCTGAGAAGAGTGCAGAAGGCTGCGTGATGTGGGTTCACGACACCCTTTTACCACTAGCTGAAATATGATTACATTTGTGTGTAAGGGGGAGGGGGTGGGTGGAGGGTTGTCACTTTGAAAAGGGTGCAGAGAGGTGTGTGATGTGGGTGGACGTACACCCTATTACCATCAGCTGATATATGATTACCCGCTTGTGTAGGGGGGGGGGGTGGCACATTTGAGAGGAGTGCAGAGAGCTGTGTGATGTGGGTTCACCACACCCTTTTACTGCCAGTTGATATATGTTTACACCTGTGTGTAGGGGGGGGGGGGTTGTCACATTTGAGAGGAGTGCAGAGAGCTGTGTGATGTGGGTTCACCAAACCCTTTTACCACCAGCTGATATAAGATTACTCCTTTGTGTAGGGGGGGGGGGGGAGGGTTGTCATGTTTGAGAAGAGAGCAGAAGGCTGTGTGATGTGGGTTCCCCACACCCTTTTACCACCAGCTGATACATGATTACTCCTGTGTGTAGGGGGGGGGGGGAGGGTTGTCATGTTTGAGAAGAGAGCAGAAGGCTGTGTGATGCGGGTTCACCACACCCTTTTACCACCAGCTGATATATGTTTACACCTGTGTGTAGGGGGGGGGGGGGTGTCATATTTGCGAAGAGTGCAGAAGGCTGTGTTATGTGGGTTCACAACACCCTTTTACCACCAGCTGATACATGATTACTCCTGTGTGTAGGGGGGGGGGGAGGGTTGTCATATTTGAGAAGAGAGCTGTGTGATGTGGGTTCACGACACCTTTTAACCACCAGCTGATATATGATAACCCCTGTGTGTAGGGGGGGGGGGTTTCATTTCTGAGAAGAGTGCAGAAGGCTGCGTGATGTGGGTTCACGACACCCTTTTACCACCAGCTGAAATATGATTACATTTGTGTGTAAGGGGGAGGGGGTGGGTGGAGGGTTGTCACGTTGAAAAGAGTGCAGAGAGGTGTGTGATGTGGGTGGACGTACACCCTATTACCATCAGGTGATATAAGATTACTCCTGTGTGTAGGGGGGGGGGAAGGATTGTCATGTTTTAGAAGAGTGCAGAGCTGCGTGATGTGGGTTCACGTCACCCTTTTACCACCAGCTGATACATGATTACTCCTGTGTGTAGGAGGGGGGGGGGCAGGATTGTTCTGTTTGAGAAGAGTACAGAGAGCTGTGTGATGTGGGTGCATGTACACCCTTTTACCACCAGCTGATATAGGATTTCACCTGTTTGTACGGTGGGAGGGTTGTCACATTTGAGTTCAGTGCAAAGAGCTGAGTGATGTGGGTTCACGACACCCTTTTACCACCAGCTGATATAAGATTACTCCTGTGTGTAGGGGGGGGGGGGGG